CCCCTCAATTTATACCTCGTATCTGCCCACCAAGTCATGTCGTCCCAAGAGATCACGCCGACACACCGGGGTTTTGTCTGTTGCGTTCCGTACTCTGTGTTCTCGTAGACAATCTACAACATTTCAGTGCCTACGTCGGTAAAGTACATTCGACATATAACCGGAAACTAAGAGAAAGGTAAAGATGGCTGCTTTCTGGGTTGCGTCGTGTGGTCTGATAGAAGTTTCCCGACGCATCATACATACTTCCTCAGTCATCAGAGCGATGACAAGGCAGCAAGCTCCTCTGAAAAGTCGTTAAATTTGTACTAGACTACACAACGCAACAACCCAGATACAGCCATCATCAAACTCGCCAGACCTCAGTAATAATAAAGGTTTGCATCGTCCTGGAGTACCTGTAGACAGAGCTTCGAAATGACTTGTTTTACATTTGATATCTCCGTATATCCACCGTCGTACAGTGTGTTCACAAGACCTACAACTAGAATCATGGTGGCGTCACAGTAATATGTGACGCTGGATATGGTTGTATGCTTAAAACCTAAGATAAAAAAGATTAATCACTTACCTAAAACTCCTAATCACTGTTCTGCAATTCGATTAATTGGAATTCCGAACTTATTTACATCCACGCTGTGATAAAGGACGTTATTAAGAATTCTTGCGACAGGTCACGCACTCACTCACCTTTCATCAAACATGCCACGTGGCGTACTAAAACATTTTTCTGCAATGCAAAAACGTAACAACAGTACGCATGCGCATAACTATTAAACCCTCAGCTGCGAGGCTACGTAACAGTTCACATGTTTCTGGTAGCAGAGAGCTTACCGTTGATCAGCAAACGCTGATTCGGTGCTGTTGTAACTTACTGCTACGAAATTAATCGAGTTATTTTCCGCCTTTCTGGAAACCCAAACGTAGTGGTCGAGTTTTTAACACTCCTGCTTCGTTTGCGGAAGGTTCTGGGTTCATGTCCTGACTGCAGATTTATACTGTTCCTCAGTTTATCTGGGTAAATGCCGGGTTAGTAACTTAAATTATACCACATCTTATCCAACTCACTATTCACTAATTATCCAATTATTCGACTCCATATAACTGAGCTACTGGCAGCGACGTTAAATAAACAACTAATTAATATTATCCTACTGAAAGAAATCGTTCAGTATCGATCTCAACTCCATAAAAAGCAGAACGTACAGTCGATATATGCTGACCAAAATGGAACTAGACGAATAAATTTTACTGTAAAGTCTACGATAAATTTCATAAAAACAAATGGGAGATCCCACACATAGACAGAAAGACAACTTCACCAAGTACAGTTTTCTCTGTACATTGCGTACATAAAACTGCATGACAGTAAACAAAAATTAATTACAAAGTGAGACGTACTTTCTTCTGTCAGGTTCGACATCCAGAATTCTCGGGCTGATAGACTTTTTTACTTTACATATTATTTACATGCTAGGTATCAGGGATTAAGAAGAAATTATTTTCGGAATTCCGTTGTAAATTATCGACAATTTTAACAAGCACTACTTTTTAGTAACCTACAACAACCCCAAATATTATATTTCTAAGCTGATAGTACGTCTTATCAAGTCATTTGACGCATAATATAGACCTATTCATGCAAATTTAAAGTATCCGCAAAAATTAAACTGTTTTCTGTAGCAAGCCTATGGTACTAGAGACATATAAGAAATTGAACATGACAACTGATACAGAGAAATTTAATTAAAGCTGTAACATATTCTGGGTACTGAATAATGTTGCGTTGGAAAACATTCCGAATTTAACGTGAAATTAAAAGTAATACAGATTTTAAATTTATTAAATAATTTTCATAGTACAGTGAACGTTGCTCGTGAGCAAATTTTATGCAATTTTTTACACGCATGACCCCAAATTATGAGCCTCGAAAGGACTTTAAAATAAGTGAGAGAGGAAAATTACATATGGAAACACCTGTCCACAGTTCGCAAGAAGTAGCAATAAATCACGAAAATAAGCAGTGCAATTCTCTTAAGGAAACATCTGGGTGAAGAATCACAGACAGTTACTATGGTTATCTGAATTCTCTGTTAACATACCTTGTAACTCACGAAAATAACATTTCAAAGAACAGTGATAACTATATGTACCACCGCCTTAAACATACACTAACTGCGTTAATTTTTGTCCATAGAGTTTAATTTGACCTATGGGTTTCATACGATTCTCAAAATAACAGCGGTTATTTATTTTAAAAAATTATCCCAATTAATCTTTGTAATGGACAAGCGCTGTGTTTTCTTTGAGGTAAAATAAGTTTCTAAGTATTATTCAAAAAAACTTGGGCTTTGAAGGGCCTCATTCTACTTACAAAAACGGAAGAAACTGATATAAAGAGATTACATATTTGAAAATCGGATTTTCTTGCAATAAATATGTCCTAGATAAATCAAAAAGATTCACGACTTAATTATCTTGTAAAACATATTCATACATCATCTCCAAATTCTCCGTTGATAAAATAATCGGCCTTACCAGTTCCACCATAAAATTCCTATACAAGATGTTTGCTTATCGCGGGACATGTAAGGGATGTATGAACTCAAATTAAATTACATTAACAACCACCGAATCTCACGGATATCCAGAAATTTTGATTCTGGAACGGCCTGTCTGGTGGTCAGTGCAATTGCATGGATGTAAACGGTCTCTGCAAGGACAGAATTTGATTTCGCCTTCATAACCTACTTCTGTCTCCGTCCGTTTTCCTCCCTTTCTCCCTCTCCTTTGTCATAATTATCTTGTCAAACAGCCATTCGCAAGTTTGCTGCGAAAGTCAAACAGTTTACTACAGCGCCACTGCTTAAATTCAACGCTGATGGCAATTAGCCAGGAGAAAGACCTTATGTGTCTTTCCATTAAGAAGTTAAACAGAATATAATATAGTCATACAGAAACAGTAAGGCGTTCTGTCTTTCTCTTTCTCTCGTGTTCCAGCGCTATTCCTGTCTTCCTCGTTTCATGATTTAGATTGCTGCAGAATTCTGCTTTTCAAAATATTATTATTCACATTCTAATTGCTCTCAACGAACACTGAACTCATTTGTTACTGCATACGCAATCGGAGCTGCACAAGAAAGTGATCGATGGAAAATCACACTTCTGTTTGATTTTATATGGGCACAATAAATTGCCAAATTACTGCTTTGATTTCTTGCCAAATAATTTTCTGATCATGCCTTCGAGTATCTAAAAATTGATCTGGAGCGGTGCATTCGAATATTCTTTATAATTTCCTTCTTCCTTCCTTCCTTATCTCGACTCAAGAATTAAACTAGTCGTTCATTTTTTACTCTCTGCCCCATTTTTAAGATTATTAAATCAAGGACAATAAGATGAACATGAAGCTAGCATACACGAAAGAAAGAAGAAATGTAAACGAAATTCTGATTGAGAAACTTCAAGGAAGGGCACCAAATGATACAGCTAGACGTGTAATATCAAAATATATCTTCAAAAAACATAGAGCAAAAGTTAATTCTGGATGAAAAGTACCAAAATTAAACCAACTTGAGCGTTTTGTGAACAAGGTAATAAATATCTTTTTTTCCATAAAAACGTAAGGGTAACTTTTTAAGAACGATTACATATTTCGTTAGAAAATGGATTTGTATCGTACACTCTCGAAGGAAATATGTCAACTATACAAGTGTAGTGTTACAACCTTATAATATTAATGGATGACGTTTCACAATCATGTAATTATTTATCATTGTATTTTAAATATATACAATTGTATCTGCCTGCTTATTGTACAACTTCACATAACCCTATTAAAATACATTTCTTCAATTCCTTATAATTTTTTGCCATCTACAAATACCCTACTTTTAATTTTATTAATCTTATGATTCTTCGATTTGAACATGTTTCATATACTAACTTATTGTATTTTTTACTTTTTAATCTAATTGTTAAATTCATTTACAAATCATTCACGATATATTAAAACTTCGCTCTGAATTTTCCATATGAACACAAAAGTACAATGTGGCCTAAATATAATTTTTTCGAATTCACGGGAAATAAAGCTGGTAATTATTATAAATGACAATGGCAGAAAACCTGAGCAAATCAGAAATTTCATATTCTAAATAATTAACGAATGTGAACATACTTTATGGCATGGAAAGGAGACTAAAAGAAATTACTACACAAATTCTGCAGAATAATCTCTAGATTAAACTCACCAAGATTACTTTCACGTGCATCAAAATGTACGGCAATAGCAAAATGCTTGTTAAATTTCAAAAATTCCCATACACGCCACTGCTAAGTCTGGGGCTACTATCTGCCAAAACTTCGCCGCACACACGGTATTTAATGAAATCTTTAAAGGAATTCCTGAAACACTCTCTACTGGAATAGCGCTTTCATTTAGAGACGTCTGTTAACGGCATTAACCCAGGCCCAGACATTTAATATAATTATCACTGAACAGCGTAGGGCATCGAAGGAGACGTACTGGTGTGAGCGAGATGACTAAGCTAACTTTAAGGCTTACAACGCGGCAGAGTTGTTACGCCATTGTGAGCAATGACTAGCCAATGCAGAAGTAACAAGGCATTGTATTAACTCGCGTTACTGCTATCTGCAATGCGTTCTAGTGTTGCCTCCAGACAGACAGACAGACAACTGCTTGAAGATGGCTGTATTCTAGGAAGATATTCCGTATAGTCTGGTAGAAGTTCCAGAGGTTCTTGCTGCCTCAATCATCAGAGCGATCGGCGAGACAACCTCAGATATCAACGTTAATCCTGTTTAATTATCCTGTTATATGATATTAACTTCTCTGCAAAAAAAAATTGTCCTAGCTGTCGTCTGAACTTTAAAATCAAAGTGTCTTTGTCATTAGCGAAAAGGTCGTAGTTAGTTTCACACTCTATCGGGCACGAAGTGAGTTCTGAGTGAAATGCTGTGTTGGTGGAGTCTCTTACCTTTCTGGTGCGCGCAGAGGTTGTGGTCGTCCTGTGGAGACGAGGTGCAGGCAGTGAACTAGCGGCAACCAGCAGGGGGAGAAACTGTGGAGCAAATAGAGAGGCAACGTAAGTGAATTGGACATCCGAAACATTTCTTATTCATGAGCTGCGCAGACATAGTACAGACCACGTTGCAGTACGTCAAGGATGTACAAGATTTTGCTCAACACGCCTCATGGCGTAGTTTTGGGACTAAATGAAGACAACCCTTACCAAGTTGAACATTATCATAACCTCCACCATATGTTTGAGGCTTCATCTCTGACCCAGTACTTGGCTTGTCTCTAAAAAAAGTTAATTTAGCTAGTGATGACCTGAAGTTAATATTAAAATTACTTCACTGAAGGTTATCACCCGCCCACATAAAAATTTCACACAAAATGTTAGTATTGAAACCATGAGGGAACATAAAACTTGGGAAACGCATATGTAGATGGTTGGAAAAATTTAATGGAATTTATGGCCCTGTGTTTAGAGTTGCGGAGGCAAAGGAATTGTTAGCTGTCCTGTGAGGGAGCTACAAAGAAGTTAAAATAGTGGCCTACATATAGGGTACACTCGCCCTGATGACGGAGGCAGTATGACCTCTAAAACGTTGGTAAACATCGACCAGACTACACAGCGCAACAACCCAGAAGACAGAAATCTTCATAGCGTAGATAACTTAGAAAGAATCGCCCTGATGACGGAGGCAGTATGACCTCCGAAACGTTGGTAAACATCTACCAGACTACTCAGCGCAACAACCCAGAAGACAGAAATCTTCATAGCGTAGATAACTTAGAAAGAATCGCCGTGATGACGGAGGCAGTATGACCTCTGAAACGTTGGTTAACATCGACCAGACTACACAGCGCAACAACCCAGAAGACAGAAATCTTCACACTCACCGCTGTGAAAACCTCAAATCATACATTCGCCCTGACAAAGTGACGGATTAATTAAATTATCAGTAGAATTCTATTTCACTCAACACTGAAAATGTCGACCTATTCCACAACTCATTCAGACTTCGATTATTCTATGGAAGACAGAAGACGTGTAAAAGCTACGCATCATACCGAAGGAAACCCGGGGACATGCGAAAACGCGGATAGCGAAGCGTGTATAACGAGATTAATCTATATTCAGTTCGGCGTCTTTGTATTATTTACAACAATCTGTTCAGAAATTGAAACTATATAATCGATTAAATAAATAAACTGGCAAGAAATGAGCATCCCTTATCTGCAACCGTGGATGAGTAGAGGAGATGAGGGGATGTTGTAGAAGGATGTATGTAAATAAATAATCTGCTTCTAGAGCGAAGCAACATTGATATTTATGATCTGCATTCATGAAGCTTGCGCACCGGTGACCATGCATATACAGGAGATGAATCTCAAAGTGTGAAATGCCCTCGCTCCACTCTACTCCACGAAAATACCTGTACTGTAATGCAAGACATCTCCAGTGTTTAATGAATAGCTCTCAGAAACACGAACCTAGAACTCAAAGACCACTGCTTGAGAATGCATTTCCTGCATTAAAATTAAATTCTATGTATGAACCGAACTATTCGTTTTTCAAAGCTTAATTCTGCGGCTAAGAACAAAGACTTACTTCCCTCAGCAAGTTTAATAAAGGGAAAACCTTTTATTTAAGGCATGTCGGCGAAGAAGTGCGTTGCCAGTCATTGTAGAGTTCGTTTCATAAATCCAAAAAGAATAATCTTTTACCTTCTCCCCCTCCTGCAGATCTGAGAGCAGATGCCCTCATAACCAAAACCGCCCTCGCTTACTTGAGAGAAATACTAGTACCTGGCGTCGGATACGACAGGGCAGTACTTGAACATCCTTTGTTTAAGAACAACTGCACATATCAAGTGTCATTTACGAAGAATATGTGATTTGGCAATGAAATAGAAAAGAACAAGCAGACAAAGTAGAATACAGGTCCAAATTAGCGAAAGAACAAGATTGGGAAGATGTACTCATTGGAGTACACACAAATTTCAAAGGTTTTCCTTACGCCACACCACGGGCGATGATGTCAGTAAGGCAACCAAGGAAACAACAAGTGCAATAATCTGTATCAAAGACAACGATGATAGCCAAAGTATTGTTGCAACAATTCGGAAGGCCATAGTTGCGAATATGCGATCCAATGTCATTGTTACAACAATGCAGAAGGCCATAGTTGCGAATATGTGATACAATGTCATTGTTGCAACAATTCAGAAGGCCATAGTTGCGAATATGTGATTCAATGTCATTTTTGCAACAATTCAGAAGGTCATAGTTGCGAATATGCGATCTAATGGCATTGTTGCAACAATTCAGAAGGCCATAGTTGCGAATATGTGATATGTCATTGTTGCAACAATGCAGAAGACCATAGTTGCGAATATGCGATCCAATATAATTGTTGAAACAATTTCAGAAAGCCATAGTTGCGAATATGTGATCCAATGCCATTGTCGCAACAATGCAGAAGGCCATTGTTGCGAATATGTGATCCAATGTCATTGTTGAAACAATTTCAGAAAGCCATAGTTGCGAATATGTGATCCAATGTCATCGTTGCAACAATGCAGAAGGTCATAGTTGCGAATAGGCGATCCAATGTCATTGTTGCAACAATGCAGGCCATTGCTGCGAATGTGATACAATGTCATTGTTACAACAATTCAGGACATAGTTGCAAAGATGTGATCCAGTGTCATTGTTGCAACAATATGAACCAAGGTAATTTTTGAATTAATGTGCTCTGAGGTGGTTGTAACAATGTGGTACAAGACGCGACAGACATATTGACATAGATAGACCCATAAGGAGTTATTTGCTTACTCATCTTCACGAAGCGGGTTCTGCATCCTTACCTTACATAACCCGAACATTTTGAGTCAAACCAATTTGGAATATATGACACCGTCCTAGGTCAGGAACAGACACGCGTACCTGCCGAATACAAGTAGTTATCACTGAACACGACTGCTACAGTGTTGTTGCTTTATGTAGTATATCGACGTTTCAAAGGTTCTTGCTGCCTCCATCATCATAGCCCTGATGAAGGAGGCAGTACAGACCTCTAAAACGTCGACAAACGTCCACCAGAAGATAGCCATTTTAATATTCCAGCATGCATAAATGAACTTTGGTCGAGTCAGATTAAACAGAAGTAACACGCAACAACATTATTTATTACATTAATTTTTGTAACACGGTGACATTGAAATTATATATTATTACGTTGTGTGCACAGATGAATTTCGAAATATACGTAAAATAATGTTCAAATTAAGATAACCAAACTAATCTCCACCGCCATTCGTTATGAAATTAATTAAGCTTTACCGACTCATCGGTGTGTCTGTGCCAGTTGTAATCTTTCGCAATGCCTTCTCCTTCTGTCTGCCCTGGTTTTATTTCCACTGATAGCAGACTGTTAATTTAAGCTCTGGTTGCGCACACAACTTGCGTAGTGACTGAATAATAACATAGCAGTAGTACTACATTTCACCCTCTGCACTTCCTTGATTACCTAACTCACTCCACGAACCAAAGACCTTAAGAAGGAAATAGTCGCTCAACTAGCCAAGATATTTACCGTAATTTATAAAAACTGGATATTAATTATTGTGTTAATAATATCCCGACACTTGTCTTTATAATAAGCCAGATTAATCCACTTCGTATACATCATATTTATTTATGAGACCTGTTCGTTTACGTATGCCTATGTCTTCCAATTGGCCTCCTCGTTTCAGATTTTCCGAATAAGATTTCGCATGCATTTCTTATCTCTTCTATTCGTGCTACATGTCCCGTCCATCTCATCCTCTTTCATTTTAAAGCCTTGATATATATGGCGAGGATCATAAATTACAAGCTCTTTGTTATGAAATTCCTTCACGCTCTATTATTTATTCTCGTTTACATCCAAATGTTCTCGTTTTAACATCCGCTGATAGACCTACGTTACATACTCGTGTTATGAAATGAGTGTTTTCTAGAGACAGACGCCTTATTGTTTTTGTGCACAGAGTTAAAACGACTGGGGACACATTCGACCTAAACAAAAAATAGTGGCAATGAACTGAAGTGACAGGAAGGTTTTCAGAAACTAGTATGATTACTGAACTTGAAAACTCATCTATAAGTCTCTGCTCCATATACAAGTCTGTGAAACTTGAGAATAACTGTATACACCACTCTATGTCCAGAAAATTATGGAGTGTGATTTACTGACAATTTAACATGACAGTCTGACGTATAACACTAATATAATGACGATGCATTATTATTGAAACATCTTATTCTCTCCATTGCACTGCTTGATAGATACAGAATGCTACCGACCTAAATAAAGCCAGCTCTACAACTTAACAACCTTGAATTCTTTTAAAAACACCAAAACGTTGAATACAATTATGATTGGTTCTTATACATTTGTTGGGCACGGCTTACAACACACACACGTCTACCAAACGGGAATCAACAAACCGTGTTAAGTCAAACAGGCATCTGACATCCAGAGACATACAAGAACCGAAAACAAAATATTTCAGTAAGAAACGCCATAAACACTTTCTCTAAGCCGTCTCGCGTTATCATGTTTTTTTTTTATTACAATCAGAAAGAACAAATGTCAATTTTCTCAGCAGTGCCGCGAACTACAAAAATAGTTGCAGCCTTATAACTATCTCAACGCTTGTATCCTATCCTGGTTCGACAAACGTAAGTTTTCAAAACAGTGTGAAATAGATTAAATTAATTTTCCGGGGTTCAACCCTGGATGAATGATACATGAATCAACGGCGAAGTATGTTACAGAAACAAGTAACAAAAACCAGTAAATAAACTGGATAAATATTCTTCAGAGCATAAAGGGGAAATGTTAGTAAAATATGAACCTTTACAGCAAGTTTGGATGTAACTGTCTTCCCAACACACCAAGAACATTTACAATGGTTAAATTTACCCATTCTCCTCGGGAACTTACTTTCATGGTACAGTGGTTATTCCCGACAGTTGGTCCAACCGTGCATTGCACGTGCGTTGAACATACAGTAGACACATTTCAGTGTTTTAGGAGGAGAGGGTGGACGTGGAGGTTAGAACTCATCCATTTTACATAACTTTTACCCTCCATCTTTCCGTCCTTGTCTAGTCTGCAGATATTTCACGACTCCTTCCTACTACCCTCTTCTCACGCACGAATACAGCGTTACAAATTACAGTTAGCCATCTCGTAAGGGTCAGACAAGAGGCTTCCATAGTGAATTACCCATAATTCTGACTCCTAAGACGTTACGAAACACGAAAGTTTGCTGACAGACCTTTGTACATTTCTGAGCACTAATTAACAGCAGCTAGAAGTGACGAAGAGGTAGTTCGCTGGCTCTGTCTTAAAGATTCTGAGACATGCTACCCTTGGCTGCAGTTGCATTCCTTCGAGATGCTTCCACTCACTGAAAGTACTATTAGTACTCGCAGCAGCCAGGCCTTGCTAGAAATCAATAGATGCCTTCATAAGTGACATCAACAAGGAGACCTGGCTCGTGGAAGCAATCACGTCGAACGAGTGACGTGCATATTTGCTGGTGGAAAAAATCTATTTCCTTCTTTCAATTTCAAAGTGAATATCTCAATGCCATTCAGTCTATTTACTATGCTCAATCTTTCTTAAGTAACCAAATAGCCCCGCCTTGTATGGAATCACAATGTTCATTACCGTGTTCACAAAAGCCAGCTAAGTTTTCTTTCACTGCTGACTACTTACTTTTTTTCCCTCTCATTAACGCGGGCTTTAAAGATTTAAGAATAATTCTAATATAAGTTTTATGTAAACTAAACTTATCACGTATAAAATTACTTTACTTGATATAATTCAACGTTGCTGTCTGTAGATGTTTGTAATTTCGCTCCAAAATCAAAAATGTTTTACACAGAAGCACCTCGTCTACAATCTACATTACCAATTACCTTTTTTTTAAATGTTACATCTATGATTAACTGTAGGATAAACCATACAACGTATTTTACAGCATAAACTGTGTCTATACAACTCCATATGAAGTAAATTTAGCTCTCCTAGCATTTTACTGACTCTTGTGTTATGAAAATGACTGTTTGTGTCAAGCACTGACAGGATTATTACAGTGAAAACAATGCTAAAGCTGAAACTACTTATTCCTCTTTTAAAATTCAGCCTATCTGTTTATTTATTTTTTACCTTCTGAAGGCCAGACAGCTGTCGATAAAGAACACACAAGTAATATTACTGCACAAACAAAACGTCGGAAACTTCCGCTCGATGCCATACACTTCAAAAATGTGTATATGCAGGGAAATACTGTCGGCTTACTAGTCGTTCAGTCAATCTGGTCCAGGTCTGCGGCTAACTCAGCCGGGGAGGAGAGGGGGGACAGACAGGTTTCTGTCCTTTATTCCACCTTTTAACCTGATGACGAAAGCAGAAATCAGGTTTGTGTGTTTATGATTTTATAATTTAGACGATGTACGGAGCCCAATAGAACAATTCTACACATTATAACGAACCACAGAAATATTCAAACGTCGATCACAGATGCTTCACACTGACTTCTTTATGAATGAATGGAAGAAGAAAATGAAATTGTAGATGGTGGTCTTTCGGGTTGTAATGCCTTATGCTCCTGTAGATGACAGGGTCTATCCGAGCGGCCGTACGCTCCTTCGATGCGTTCGTAATGACCTACCAGACCACATGGCATCACATCCCAGATGACCATATCGATATCTTGACCCCTGTGATAACCAGAAATCGCAAAGAAACAAAACATTATTTCTGCACATTCCCGTCATAGGGCCTATAACATTACGGTAAGAGTGAGACGCCATTTTTTTCAAGATGTAACATTTAGTAAGTTTTGAGGTTCTCACGGCGTCGAGTATAAAGATGATCCTCTTCTAAACTGCAGCAAGGACCTTGGTATATTTTTACCAGGCTACACAGCGCTACTACCCAAAGGGCAACCATCTTTGTACAACATTTACTTTGTTGCCCCTTCGATATATAAATGTCGAGATTCGGTAAGTTCTTCTGGAGGCTACTGCACTCAGGAGATAGTGCAGACAGTTCTAGAGATGACGAATGTCTCAATGAAAAGAGACACTTACATACTGGAAGCACTATGCTGCAAGATCTCATAACTGTAAGTTATAATTCATTTTTGCTTTGAAATTCCATGTAGAATACCTTAAACCCAGAAGACAGCCATCTTCAGACTCAGCGCCGTCGAAACCTCAAATCCCACAACCTAAAACATTGGTGAATTTTGGAAAAGAAGACGCGAACATTGGTTCATGCGTTTGTTTGTAATAGATTGTAGGTGGTGAAGAACGGGGTGGGAAGGAAAATGAAGTTCGCATTGACATAGGGGAACAGTTGAAGGAAGAAACAAAACAATATCGCTGTGTTTCTCTGCTTGTGCTTGAGGCATGAAAACGAACTCCAGCAACAGCAGAACTGTTATCCCGTGTTTTCTCCAGCTAACACAACTTGTTTCCAATAAGTGGGGTCAAAACAAACAACGCGGTATGATGCAAAGGGATGGAAGAGAAAATCCCAACTGCACGAGGCCAATTTATGAAGGAAAAGTTGCCTTTATAGAAAACAAATACAACGTTCCAGATCAGAAATAAAATCAGTAATTACTAGCTCCGACTCTATTCCACTGCCTGAAATAAGGGGCATGGGTATTGAACTCGTCTCACGTTGTTATGAGATTCCGGCATCCATGCAGAGAAGTCGATGTCGGAACAGTTGGAGTTACCTACTAAATACGTGCAAGCCTATACAGTGGGCAAAAATTTCATGTTATCACCATTGAGTTGGCAGGACGAATACTTATAATCCATTCAAGGCATGAAAATATACTTGTTATTTTTTTATTTTGGAAGCGAACGTCGTTTGCACAACAAACCAAGAGAACCGATCATCGCCCTGATGATGGAGGCAGTATGACCTCCGAAACGTTGGTGAACATCGACCAGACTACACAGCGCAACAACCCAGAAGACAGAAATCTTCATAGCGTAGATAACTTAGAAAGAGTCGCCCTGATGACGGAGGCAGTATGACCTCTGAAACGTTGGTAAACATTGACCAGACTACACAGCGCAACAACCCAGAAGACAGAAATCTTCATAGCGTAGATAACTTAGAAAGAATCGCCCTGATGACGGAGGCAGTATGATCTCTGAAACGTTGGTAAACATCGACCAGACTACACAACGCAACAACCCAGAAGACAGAAATTTTCATACTCACAATGTGTAAACCTCAAATCATACAGAGATATAGAAGGCTGACCACGATACCCCACTTAACAGAAAAAACTGCGAGATCTCGTCCACAGAGGGTTCTCCGTGTCTTCTGCAAATGACGTTCGCCTACAGAATATAAAAAAAATGTTATATCCAAACGATTGCACAAAAGGTCGACTGGTTTTCATCGATAAGTTACTGGTCAGGAAATTATATTTCCACAACAGGCACATATCACATCAAAAACAAATTTTCTCTTCTTCGACAGCACCTGCTGAGAACAGCACAACCGATGATTAAACTGGCAGAACCGTGGTATTAGTAACAAGTGCCAGTATCACATTTCACGTGTTCATTTACTTCACAAGGAAGTATTAGAAACAGTGATTCAAAACTCCCACCTTCTCAATGCTATTTCAACATGTTATCAAGTCGTCACACACGCCTGTGTAAGTAAATTCGCTGAACACAAATATCTGCACTGCCCAATAGGCAAAGTCACATTGGAACCTTCGACCTTTTCGCATTGGTCTATTGGGAACAGAACAAAAGTTACCTATAGCAAACATCTCTTTAGCCAACCATAAAAAGAAATATTCAAGCAGAAATTGATATACGAACAATCAATGAAAGCTGTTCACCAAACCAACTGTCCTGGACAAATCGCGTTGCTTATACAAAGGCGTATCAGTAGGAAGAATACACACGAGCGTCTGAAAGGAAATCAAGGTACAACAGCCACTAATTGCTGCTCTGTGAGTATTCATGACCGCAGGTAATCGTTCCCCCTGTCTCCTGGTAGGAACGACCTGTCATGACATGTTTTCAGAGCTGCCTACGTCCTGACATGACTTGAATGGAAGTGAGTCTCGGCGTACCTTCGTTGCGCCTGCCTGACTGCTCAAGTATTGTAATCGTAACTTGAACCGACACAACCGATTGCAGCTTTCGTGTTGTACAAACCCTCAGAGTGATCGGAAACAAAACGGAATTTCCCAAGAAAAAGCTTGGAATTTAGACATAAGAGGCGTTAAAGGATATAAACAGCGGATGAAATCTTACTAAAGCGGGTAGGACTATAACAGATTGCGACATCCCACCACTTTAACGTCTATTAATTTGTTTATTAAAGAAATACATTGTTGAAACTTTAATACATTTATTGATCAAAGTTAAATACTCTGGTGTCTTATAAGGGTTTGGGCAAAAATTTTATATATTTTATAACATGGTATTATCTAGCCCATCTTCTCTAAAGTGCAATTTTAATAAACATGTCTATTTATTAAGGTACATAAAGAATATTTCATCTAAAATAAACAGGTGATAACTACAGTGCGATCCTTGCATCTGTCTCATTCTTTGTCCCCTCTGTATTTCAACGTCTTCCCAAATAATAATTCAAACATTTACTTCCAGACATACGTCCCCCTCTTAATTTTCCGTTTTATATAACACCCTCCCAAATCTACGTTATGAAGAGAAACCGTTCAAAATATATGAACTGAAATTAAAATCTGGAGAAAGCAGAAAATCCAATTTCACTCAATTCCCTCCCCAATGTATCATCGTCTTATTGCAGTATGAGTTTTGCTTATTTCTGAACATCGTCTTCTTACGCAGTGTTTTCTGGAGTCGTTCACTTGAAATGTTTCACTTGTACAGACTTTTACATCTCTTAAAACAGTAAAGAAAGTCTTATATCAAAATCAACCAAATTCAGATCATAGCTGCAATAATTGTACCATTCGAAAACGCAGCTGTGATACGGCCAAAATTATTACCACTACTAAGTACCAAACTTCGCAGACATGTGATAATATTCCTGCTTTGTATTCAGGAGACCTGGGTTAAAATCTCAAACCTGACCGGCGATCGAAGGAGACATCTTCATAATCGTTCCGTAAGAACCTGAAATCTTATTTGGTATACATTTCTGATTAGACCTCATGCTCCAAGGCGCCTAAAAACATGTATTCAGAACTAGTTTGTCGGATATTTTACGTTCAGTGCCGCTGAACTTAACATTTATGAGAAGAGGCAAGGAAGAAATTCAGGTCTCACTTACGACATACAACCTCCTCTAAAACCAAATTCTCAGTACAATCCGCCACATAGATGACATATTCAGGAATTCAAAACCTAATCATCAGGTCCTGACACGTGTTCTGTCAATCATTCAACTCATTTCTCGTCCACTGTTTGCTCCGAAGAAATCTTGCGTACGTGTTGGACGTGTATAAGTCCACAAGGCCACCTTGTGAAACTACTCGTTTGAAGAATGGTGAGGGAGACCTGCGACTTACCGAAATCTCGTCAAGTGCTTCCAGACGACGACAGCCAACTTTTTGTCATGTTTTATCTCTGTCTGACACGTTAGCGGAACAAGAGGAACATCCATTTGATTCATCCCAGAACGTAACATGCGAGTAATGACTGCTGTAGAAAGCAGTAAGTGACATCTGCCATTGATTAGCAAAGAGGGCGACTCATTACGCATCTGCATTGCTTCAGGAGATCTTTTCTTGTGCGTGTGTGTTACATCTTGTTTGTTATCTGATGATCGTCAATAAAGTTTACCGGACACATCCTCGAACCTTGTCTCTTTAAGAGCAGAATCAGCTTTTCGTTTCGTCGTTGATTTTCATCCTTTCCTCTCTCGTCAAAGTCCTCGAACTGATCATGTGCAGTTTTAAGGACGTGTTTCAATGTAACTGTAGAAACACAGCTTTAATGCCATTGCTCTATACTTAACACTTCTTTGCATTTTTAATTGTTAATGGTTTATTTAACGACACTGTCATTATTCCAGGCTATACATGACAAATAATAATAATTACTGGTGGATGATGAATTCTAAAGGGCATTAAAGGAAGCAGTTGTGTATTGTCCTTAGGTTTCCGGAGCTCTTCACAATTGTCATAATAGTATCGTAAAATCCAACAGATCTACAAGTTCACTACGAAAGGTTTCATGGCAATAGGTAAAGAAAGTGTACGTTGCCAACGTGACCACATTAAAGCTCAACCTAAGTAACCTCCACATAAAAAATGAGCAGAGCTTGAGTTACGTTTCTTACCCTAAAACCCCC